AGAAGCTCCACCTATGGATGGGGGGGGAGGGAGGGCAGGGGAGAACCTATTTGAATAATCTCCATTCAGAGTGATAGGATCACAACAGAAGCAGACACAGGATGAAGCATGGAGTCACAAAGGAAGGGATGATTAACACTGTTAGACACATGAAAAGAATATTGTACTATCTGTATTATTTTTCACAGAATCATCCAATGCCAGGGCTGAAAGGAATCACAGTGATGATTTAACACATGCGTGCACGCATACACACACACCCTGAATCACCCAATGGAGTAGTGTTTGAAGGCGATAACCTCTGGAATATCCCTTTTAAGCTCTAAATTTAACTTTCTGGCATACAAAGCCATGAGATAGAGCGCTGTCAAGACCATAAGCCACTCATGAAAAGAGATTAGTAGGGACTCGATTGCTAGTTGATTTTTAATTCCACTCAGACGCAGAGAGGGAGCTTGTTTTCTGAAGGCCCGGGAACCTCTGGAAGACTCAGAGCCCTTGAGCCTGCACGATGTTGCATGAAAATCGCTCTAAGAGACAATGATCAAAAGGCTCCAGAGTTGCTTTCCCAGAAAACATGTCACTTCCTCAGGAGATCGTTTTCCGCAGGACTCGTGCGCCCCAACCTGCCGCCAGTGCACACAGGCCAAGCCGGAGAAGGGATGTGGCATACAGAGGAGCGGCATCTCCGTCTGTGGAGATGCTGTGTCTACCCCACCAGCCGGAGGGGCTCACGTCTGATGGTCTTCATCAGTCATGATGGTTTCTTCCTAAAACATTTAAACTGCTTACACGACTGTGTGTTTGTTTCTTGAACATGGGATTTCTTCTCTGCTCTGGGGCTGCGGATGGTCTTCGTGGGGCCCGTGCATACCCAGAGCTGCCCATAGGATGCGTGTTAGGGGGCCCCCCAGCTCTTCCCACATTCATAAGGACAACTGTGAGCCACAGAAGTTTAAGAGCACATCCGTCCTTGCACACGCCTATTAAATGTTAACCCAGCGCTCTGGGTGTGTGTGCATGCGGACCTGTGTGTCCTCGCATGCCCGAAACCTCTGGAGGATGGGACACTTGCTAACAAGCTCTCCTTTTCACTTCCACATTAAAAATAAATAAATAAATAACAAAATATCCCCAGGACATGTAAAACTGAACCAGCAAAGACAAGAAACTTCAAAAAAAAATCAATTATCCTTTTAGTCATTGTGAACAGTCTATCTTAAAACCCAGAGTCTCGGTGAACGTCAAAGCTCTAGTTAAATTTTTAATAAACCATAAAGGATAACGTTAAAAAAAAAAAAAAAGATCCCTTCAAAGGCAAACTGGTGACAGACCAGCTCTTGATACGGTTCCCATCAAAGGGCAGGAAGCTGCTGCCCGTAACTATCGGTGAGCGAAGTGCTCTTGACTGGAGTTAGCAGCCCGGGGCTCCGGGGATGGGCCCCACCGGGGCCTCAGGAGACTCGGCTACTTGCAGCGAGACCCTGGTGATGTCATCCTGTGCTGGAGCTTTCGACGACAACTGTGCCAATCAGTGATTCGCATCTGGTCCAGGCTTCTCTCTGCAGCCCAGACTCTGCTCCCCACTCCGAATCTATACACCCAGCTGCCTAATCGGCACCTCCACTTGGATGCCTGCCAACAACCAAGCCTCCCAGTGCAAAACTGGGTTCTTGAGATGCCCTTCTAAAACCTGCCCCCTCGGGGTCCTTCCCATCCCAGTGGGTGGCAACTCCATGCTCGCAGCCAGTCAGCCCTGAAACCCCGGGGTCCTCCCTGGTTCCCATCTTTGTCTCACAATCCCCCACTCCGGTCTGAGCTGCCCCTGTTCACAGACCGCATTCCTAGAGTGGCCTCTGCCCAATTTCCCGGTGGCCGCCCACACCCCTACTGGGTCCAGTCTGAATTCAGCACCTAGAGAGAATCATATGCTTCTGTGTTCAAATCCCTGGGGTGGGCCCATCTCTCAGAGTAAGAAGGAAAGTCCTTACAATGTGTCTGAGTTCCACCTGGGGCAGGGCTGACCGCTCTGTCCTCACTTTGTGCCTTTCCCTCCCACTCACCCTGCTCCAGCCACACTGGACTCTTGGCTCCTCCTCATAGGTCCAGACATGCTCCTGCCTCAGGGCCCTTGCATTGGCTGCTCCCTCTGCTTGGAACATTCACTCTGCCCCAGAGAACTGGTTGTCTGACTCCAAGGCTAGGTCTCAGTGAGACCCCCCTGGCCACTCTTTAAAATTACAATTCCTTTCTGTAACAACTTGGATCTCATCAGCCCTGCTGGACGTGTCCTTTTTTTATAGCACCAACCCCCTTGAACATAACATACAAGCCAATTATTACTATTATGTTGTCTTTCTGCCCTGCTATAATGTTAAGGATAGGAGGCCAGGGATCTTGGTCTGTTTTATGACTGATATAATTCAAGTACCTACAACTCATTATTAAAATGCAATTAACTTTTTTAAAAAGGCAAGACTAGGGAAGAAATTTCCCTTTGAACTTCTCAAATCCAGACGAGCCAGGTCACAGGCCGTTACACTGGGCTTCTGATGAAGCCGACTCAGTTGGGGTTCCTATGGGCCACTCAATCCTCATTTCAAAAGACGCTTCCACATTCACCATAATAGGGACATGGGGTGACCATGAACTTGGGGAAGCCAACGATCCAGAAGAAAGTCTATTGTCAAGGCAAAAGTAACCTTTGAATCTGTGCTGATTGGGTATCATCAAATCATCCCATACACCTTCCTGCTAACACTTTTGTTTCCGGTCCTAATCTGAGCTCTCCCTGAGGTCAATAAACATTGAAAGATGTGAACTCTGACCCTCCCCAACCTTCTGTCAGAATGAGCCAGGAAAGAGTCCCAGCTGAGCACATGGGAACACAGAAGGGCAGTGGCAGGTGAGAGATAGGAAGACCTCCACCAGAGGAAAGCATATTCCCGGCTTTTCAAAGCCCAGTGCAATGAAATCTGGGTTTAAGAGCACTTTTGCATTCTTCAGGGAGACAGGGAATCCCCACGGGATACCTTGAGTCAGTATAGTTGTCTTATTTGACTGTCGACCCACCGGACACATCTTTATTCATTCTCAACTGCTCAGAGAAGGAGCCTTGAGTGGCAGAAAGAAAGCTACTATTACAACTGAAAAGATAAGTACCTTCTCTTCTCTACTGATGAGCATTTCCACAGGTTGAAGGTGACTATGGAGGTTTTTCAAACTGCCCTCTGCCAAGCCCTTGGTCTTCTGGGCTTGCTAAGATTCTGAGGCTGACTGTGGCCAGAACCACCTGCCAGGGCAAAGCCGCTTTGGTCACCTTTGTGCATTGGGGTCCCACTTAAGACTTCAAGGAATACTGAACAGCAAGCTATAGAAACACCAAGGACTTTTCCCATGACCCAAAAGGAAAGAGTCAAGAGGGAAATGAGAGAAATATGCTGAAGAAAAATTGGGGAGCAAACCAGCCTACACAATCAGATGATAGAAATTCCTAAGACCAGGATAGAAATAATAAGGACAGAGCTTCCCATCGAGGGGAAGACCTGAGCTTTAAAATTGACTGGAAACAGAGGGCCGGGGTGGCTCAGTTGGTTGGGCAGCTGGCTCTTGATTTCGGCTCAGGTCATGATCCCGGGGTCCTAGAATCAAGCCCCATGTCGGGCTCCACACCCCTCTCTCTCTGCTCCTCCTCCTGTTCATGCACATGCTTGCTCTCTTGCTCTCAAATAAATAAATGAACAAAATCTTAAAAAAAAAACTGATTGGAAACATAGTGTTCTAGACAGATTGAGTATACATTGGAATCTATAACATATCAAAATTTTCATTCCTTATGACCCCCTCCCCCAGCCAAAAAAAATCTTCATTGCATAAGCAGAAGACTATCCAGCTACCCAAGGAGGAATAAATTGGGTTCGGCCATGGCCTTCGTTCCCACAATATTGAAACCGGAGGGTAGTGGAGCCACATCTACACCAGCTTCGAAGAGAAGAATGTGCCTCTAGCAAGCTTTCTCCGGTTGAGTCACTGCCCCGAAACAGGGTGACGAGTTGGCACTATGATATGCAAAGGGCTCGGATAATATATGACCCAGGGACACTCCCTCAAGGGAGGTTATTCCTAAAACTCGAGTTCTAGCACAACCAGTGATGGATCAGATAGCTGAAGAACTCAAGACTAGGAAGTCACAGCAGAAAGGAAGGACTTGAGTGTTATTAATGCTAATAGCCGCTACCCTTTTCCAAATGCTCATGTGGCCTAAGTACTACACCAAAATCTGGGTCTCTGTGTGTGCGCGCACGTGCTATAGCATCTTATTTAAGTATCAAAATAAATGTAATTCATTTTGCCAATAAAGTCCAGGTTATCTCAGTAGTAGTAGCTTTATGCCCGTTTCACAGATGGGAAAAACAAGGCCCAAAGAGCTTGAGTAGCTTGTCCAGATACGCTAGCAAGTAAGTGGCAGAGCAGGAATTCCAAGATGTGACTCAAGGAGTTCCTGAGGTTCCCTCAATTTGTTGTTCTAAATAATATCTTTATTCTCTTTTATGCTTATCTGTGTTTTCTAGTTACTCCAAATGAAACATTATTTTTGAGTTAGAATGCCAACACATTTTGTCCAATTAAAATAAATCCAAAGATGCAAAGCAAACTACCGCAGCATGCTAAAAAAGGATTCCACTGGGCAAGGGTGTTCCAGACAGGTGCTCCGCAGGAAGAAGGCAGGTAAGGCAACCAACCACCTGTGCCAAACTCTACGGAGCTCACTATTTTAAAAGAGCACTAAAGCAGAACCAGAGACATCCCACACTTATTATACGAGGTGCGCCCCACAGCAATGGCGTGAGTTAAAAATGATGTCAAGAAAGATTTGCATTCTGTCCCTGAGTCTCCCCGCTGCAAAAAGGACCCAAGTCACGGTTGTCGGTGCCCCTCTTCTAGCCAGGCAGCGAGGCTGACAGAGTGACTCCCCCCTCAGGCAGGTGGCCGGACCTCACCTGGAATGTTGTGGATGGTGATGGCCAGGATGAGCAGTGCGATCCTCCTCCAGCTGCCGCTGTTGGGTTGCACCGGGGTCCCCCGTGGAGGCTCAGGGACCGCAGGGCCCTCGGGAAGGCTGGCGGCCACCGTCTTCTTCCTCTGATAGGCCTCACCATTCTCGCTTTTGTCTGAGCAAAGAGAGAGAGGGACAGGGAGAGAGAGTACTTTGAAACTGTGCACCCTGGTCCTTGGGCAGGTAGCAGCGGAAGAAGCTCCCCCCCGCCCCCCGGGAACTGGTCTGCTTCCTAACTTCCTAATGGACCTTCTGTTCCTCTCCTCCTCCCTCCCTTCCTTTGCTTACTCATTCATTCGGCAAACACTCCCTGAATAGTGTTCAGTGCCCAATGTACAGGGACCAGAAAGGATTAAAAAAAAGAAAAAAAAAGATGAAACTGGGGCACCCTAGCAATGCTTACTAAGGAGAAGCGACACTGAGGAGTGATTAGGAGCTCAGGTTCCGGAGCCCGGCAGCTGGGCTCACTCCTGACTCGTCCACTTATCAGCTGTGTGGTGCCCAACAAGCTGTTTACCCTCTCTGTGCCCTAGTTTCCTGAGTCACGAAATGGGATAATGACGGCACCTATCCCATAGGGGAGTGTAAGGATTAAACGAGAGGCCGCAGGCAAGCACTTAGCTGCTACTAAGGGCGCAGGTGTGGACAGTGGTGGCTGTCATACATCGTGGGTGACCCTGCTCTCCTGGTCATGCCGCCTCATGGGGACCCATCCATATGCCAGGCCCAGCCAGTCAGATTCCTTCCCCGGGGATGGGGGTGGGTACTGGAGTGGGGACAGGCCCGGTGATTCGTGTGGATGCTCAGTCCAAAAGGTCATATACCAGCAGCCTGACGTTCCACGCAGGAAGGGCACAAGGAAGCATTGATGAGTGATAGACGGAAGCAGGTGTACCACCCAGATAGACACACAGACAGATGGACAAATGGCAGCCTGGGTGTCACAGGACATTCTGATCCTCACAGGCTGACTAAGGTATCCAGCCAGGATTTCATGAGCTAACTAGCTAACCAGGAAACCCTCCTTGCAAACCTTCCCCTTGGGGATATATTTGAAGGGTGTCGTTTCGTAAGCCCAGGTTATGCCAACTACCCACGGTCTTCTCCTGGGTCATTTGCTCATTCCTAACGGAGGCAAATCGCCTGGGTCTGAGGCCAAGCGCCCAGACTGCGGTGATGCTCAGCATGGGATGCAACGGTGGCTTCCTGGAAGAGCAGAGTCTTGAGCAAATTGCAGAAATGAGGTGGCACGAATGGAAAGGAAAGTCTCTCCACCACGAGTGAGTATAAGAACCCGCACGTCATTAATCAGAGGTCACAGACAGGACACATGAATGTGTTTTTAGGATCCCCATCCTGAGTAAGGCGCCCATTCATCCCAGTTCGGGCCCGCCATCCTGGGGGGATTACGCGTGTCCCTTTTCACTCTCAAAGTACCCCGGTTTGGAAAATAAACAATGTGGCTCCCCCGGCTGTGGGAAACAGCAGAAGCTTGACAGATGCTCTGCTGTGTCGGGAGACACAGTTGTTGAACTGTGGCGGTTCTGCTTCCCTTCTCCATACATTTTCCACTAGCAGAAGAATTCTTGTGTCTAAGCTGGAAGTTGCAGAAAATTTTTTCCCAAAGTCAAATTAAGAAACAACAAGCAACTGTAAGGACCCTGCTGGCCCTGACCAGGGGCCTCTGGAGGTGCCTCTCCTTACTTCTTTGGCGAAAGGTAAGGTAGGGGTGCTCACCCTCTCAGATGCTTTGGTTAAGGACCAGTCTCTCGGGACATCTGGGTGGCTCAGTGGTTGAGCGCCTGCCTTCAGCTCAGGGCATGATCCCGGGGTCCTGGGATCGAGTCCCACATTGGGCTCCACACAGGGAGGGAGCCTGCTTCTCCCTCTGCCTGTGTCTCTGCCTCTCTCTGTGTGTCTCTCATGAATAAATAAATAAAACCTTTTTAAAAAAAGTAAGACCAGTCTCTCCCTACACAAACTTGATCAGGTCTTTGTTGCCCTTTTAAGATGAACTTGCCGAAGTGGACACTCCTTTATATTTCCAAGACAGGGGGGAAAAAAAAAAGCAAAAACAAAAACAAACAAAGCAAAAAAACCCACTTCTTTTGAAAATCATTTTGTCTTTGTTCACTCAAATCCAACAGGTAAGCGTGAAGAGGAAGCAAGTGCCAAAGGGCAGGTTGACTCAGGCTGCCCCAGATCCCAACCTGTTCTCTCTCATGACAACTGAATCTCAGTCCCCAGAGGGAGGAGGCGCCTCCTACGGATCCCCCCAAATGCCAGGAATGCCAGCTGCCCCCAAGTGTCAGAGGCCACAGCTCCCATAACTGGCCTCTGGGGACACTGATGTCTCAGTTGCAAGGTGATTCCTCCCAGACACTATTTGCACAGGATGAAGCTAAACACTCCTTGTGCAGTCTCCACACCATGTGTGTTCGTGTGTGTGGACACACACAAGCACGGGATTGTTCACCTGGCACCCCACATATCACACAGCCGTCGTGCACGTTTGCACACGTGTTTCTCAACACCCACGGGGGGAATTTGTTTACACCTTTTAAGCTGACAATACTCGATGACTCAGGCTGCAGAGGCTGGTCAGAAAACTGAAGTACACGTCTGGGACCTCGAATGCATAAAGGTGCAAGCAAAGCAGGCCCGAGCACCAGCCAGGAACTAAGGCACGGGGTGGCGGAGGGTGCTCGCCTTCCTCCTGGGACAGTCGGAAAACAGCACCAATTCCTTGGGCTTCCTTAGAGCGCACAGACCTGACCTAGCTCTCCAGTGGGAGTTGATGGGGTCGGGGGCGGGGAGGCCGCTCTTCCCTTTGGGATTTTACAATTTAAAAGAGAAGAGACAGGGATGATATGAATAACTCCTTTCAATCTAAGGGCAGAAATGTAGACTCTCCGACAATCTCTGAATTTTGTCAGGGTCACAGAAGGATTGGACTCTGAATCTCCTGCAAATAATGCACAGTGAGCAACGGAGATGGGGGCACCATTAGGGAATTCCGGCGGCATACTAGTGTTTAATAGGAACGACTGAGAAGCAGAAAGAGCTGTTAATGGAAGTAGAGCTGCACATTCCGCCTTGGGGCCCCAGCGTGTGAAAGCTGCTGTTGGTGCCTCCCCTAGTGGGACATGGGCACGGGAGGGGGGCGGTGAACACCTGACATGCTTGTTGAAAGCAAATAAGCCACCATTTGGTAACAGCCTCTAATGAGCCTGCAATGAGGAAAATTAGTCCAAATAAATCACTACAGAGACTACGGATGCCTCCTGAGCAATGAATCTTCTCACCTCTCCTGGCAAGGTGGGTCCAACCACTGCACACCAAGAGTAGAACACCAGTGCCGTGGGCAAAGGATGACCACCTCGTGGAGGCAACTGCCAAGCCCGGGAGGGGGCGATGGGGTGTGCCAGAGTGACAAGAACCTGTGAGATGTGTTGAGAGGGGAAAGGTCTGGACACTTGAAGCAGGAGTTGGCAAAGAGGAAGGACATTTAGAGATGGAACAGCCCATGTCGGTTCAGAAACGAAAAATGGCATCAGTGACATCCAACTAAGCCCTGGTACTAAGAACTTTTCCTCAATCCTTCCGAAGGCCCCACAAAGCAGAGGGTAGTCCCTCTAGCTAATGAGGAGCTTGAAGAGCTAAGAGGTGGAGTTAACTGGTCCCAGGCCCACATCACCTGTCCTAGATGGATTCAGGAGCCAAGCCAGGTCTTTGACTCTAGAAGCGACCTCTTAACCAAGGTCCTGGTGTTGACTAGGGGGCAGAGGGGTAGAATGGTGATCTGCCCCTTTGCCCCCCAAGAAGGGTGGTGAGAGTAGTCACTGCCATGATATTTGGGGGCTTGAAATCCCAGATGTTTAGCTTGGAAATGTTCAGGGTGCAGAGAGGGTCTCATGAGCTTGCAACCCATGACCCCAGAGGTGGGAAAGGCCCAGTGGAAATCTCCTGTTCACAGTCATTACCACTCATAGACAACCTGAAAAGGATGCACGGAAACAGTGTTTCATAATAATAGCTCTACTATTTCCAAGTGTAAAGCAGCTGTAAGTAGAAAATAGTTATTAACATCAAGCAAGGAACACGGGGTTTACAATTCTTTCAGGAAAGTAGAAGAAAAGACTTCAAAGCTCCCCATTATCAAAGGAGTTTTTTTTTTTAATTTAGGCTCCAGCATCTAAGAATCTACACAAAGAAGGGACCCACTGCTGGGGCCAGCTGGTTGTCCCCCAGTTTCATCTTTCCTGGGGAGGCACAGCATTGCTGCATTTGAGAAGGACCGGAGGGGAACAAACAGACCCATCGGAGGCTCACTCTTCCCGCTGAATCACAGGGTGAACTTATGTGACACATTCACACAATCATGCGTGTGATTCTCATCCCAACACATCGTATCATAGAGTAAAGCCACCCCTGGTCTGGCGGGCACAATCTAGGCTACCATCGTGAACCTGTTGCCTTGGGGAGGCCCTGTCCCCCTCAGGGTTTGACCTTCTCTCCAGTGACGCAAAAAGTGCTGACATCTCTAGATCAGTGACACTAAACCATTTTGAGTCAGCAACTGCTTTTGAAAGTAAGGTGGGGGATCCCTGGGTGGCGCAGCGGTTTGGCACCTGCCTTTGGCCCAGGGCGCGATCCTGGAGACCTGGGATCGAATCCCACGTCGGGCTCCCGGTGCATGGAGCCTGCTTCTCCCTCTGCCTGTGTCTCTGCCTCTCTCTCTCTCTCTCTGTGTGACTATCATAAATAAATAAATATTTAAAAAAAAAAAAAGAAAGGTGGAAGCTATGATCCTCTCTCCAGGAAAAAAAAAAAAAAAGAAAAAGAAAAAGAAAAAGAAAAAGAAAAAGAAAAAGAAAAAGAAAAGAAAACAATACGGGGCACCTGGGTGTCTCAGTGGTTGAGCATCTGCCTTTGGCTCAGGGTGTGATCCTGGAGTCTTAGGATCGAGTCCCACATCGGGCTCCCTGAATGGAACCTGCTTCTCCCTCTGCCTGTGTCTCTGCCTCTCTTTCTGTATCTCTCATGAATAAATAAATAAAATCTTTAAAAAAAAATTACGACTTTGAAAAAAATTTTTGAATCCTTCTGGCTTCA